CAAGATTTGCCACCCAACATTTATTGCATAGTACTCTTCAGGAATAATAACTGAGGGGTGAGAAGGCAGGATTCTACAGAGAGATAAATTATGATGAGGTGGCAACAGAATCCTTAGACAATATTACAGGACGTGCAGGAGCTGGGATGGCCCTTCATAATTGTCCCTATTGTGGCTAGACATTCATGTTTGTATCCCTAAATCAAGCAGTTATTGGATATTTATATCCCTGAATCAAGAACAGTGGATATCACTGAATCAAATCCAGAGAGAGGGCTTAATCTTGAGTAAGGCAGAAGATCCCTTTGACCAGAAGGCAGTTTCTGGAGTGGAACTTGGTCTAGAGCCCTCAGCAGTGGGGGAAAAAGTGCTTCAGGCCTGAAGAAGGATCTGGGCAGTGCACCACAGATTCCAGCTCACGTGCTTTTTTGATTTTCCAAAGAGAAACACATGGCTTTCTTTCGACTTCATGCCTCCTCTTTCTCATCCTCCTTACTTAGTCCTCCTCCTCTAACTAACCTTTAAATGTTGGTGCTCCAGGCCTCTTACTTTTCTGCATTAGTTTCCTAGGTGATACAATTTACTTTTCTGCATTAGTTCTGTAGGTGCTACAATTCACTCCTGTACTTTTAAAAGCCACCTACCTATTAGCTGCTTTCTCCCAAATTCAAATCTCTAGCCCTGACCACTTCCCTGAGGCCTGAACTCATGTATCCAATCTTTATTTGGATGACTGATGGGCATCTCAAGTTTAATAAACCAAAAAGGTTTCTTGATTCCATCCCATCCCTGCCCATCCCATTCTGTTCGTTTCTCAGGCTTCTCTATCTCTATAATCATACTACCATGGAGCCATAAGCTCCAGCTAAAAAACTTAGGAGTCATCCTTATATTTCCCTTAACAGTGCTTCCTGTCTTTTGGTTCTAGCTCTAAAATAGCCCTCATCTTTGCTTAGTTTATCTTTACCGACACCTCTTCCAACCATCCACCATTTCTTTCATAAACTGCAGTAGTATCCTAACTGAGCAATCTGTATCCACCTTGACTCCTTTACAATCTATTTTCTGCCTAGAAGGCAGAATAATTTCAAATTAAATTTTTATTTTAATCAAATAATACAAGTATATCATTTAAAGAGTCCCATAAGTTTGTCATGAAAATTAACATTTCCCTCCTGACCATCCTCAATGCCACTTCCCAGAAGTGACCATTTTCAACTAGTTTAGGTATTTCTTATTGGTATCTCTTTTCTAAATAAAAATTTTAAATCATATACTTATAATGCTATTTCTTCATTTTTAAAAATCATAGACGTTATCTATTGTTATCCTTTTATATAAGATGAGAATTTACCACACTAGCCTCACAACACACGTGCACACACACACTCTTTATACCTACTTCCTCATCTCACAGCCTCCAGTAGAGCTCTATCAAAATTATTTTGGTTAAATCAATATTTAATATTTACATAAATAATGTTACATAAATAGTGGTCAGAGCTACATTTCATGGTATATTTTCTTCCTTGTGTAGTTTTTTATTGTTCTAAATTTAATAATTGCCTGTTTTCTGTCATTAGTGTGGTTTTCTACATACTAATCATTAATTCATCCTTAAACACACTACAAGAGATGTGTAGTAGTTTCCTATTGCTGCTTTAATAAATCATCACACACTTATTGGCTTAAAACAACACAAATTTATTATCTTACAGTTTTAGAAATCATAAGTCCAAAACTAGGTCTCACTGGGCTAAAATCAAGGTATCAGCAAGGCTGCGTTCCTTTTGGAGGCTCTAGGGGAGAATCCGTTTCCTTGCTTTCTCTAGTTCCTCAAAGCTGTCCGCATTCCTTGGCTTGTGGCCCCCTTCCAACAATTGCATCACTCTGACTTATGCTTCTGTTGTCACATCTCTGACAATGAACCTCCTATCTCCCTCTTATAAGGACCCTTGTGGTTAAGTATACTAACCTAAACAATCTCCCCATCAAGATCCTTAACTTAATCATATCTGTAAATTCCCTTTTGCCATGTAAGGTAACATTTTCACAGGTAATGTTCACAGGTAAATTGGGCCATGAGCATCTTTGAGAGCCACTATTCTGCTTACCACAGGGTATATTTCTCTCAGGAAGGTCATAAACATAAAGTGATCTGTGAATTGCTTCTTTCCTCCCTCTCTTTGTTCTATTCCTTCCTTCCTTCATTTTCTTTCTGTTCTCCCTCATTTTGGAGGAGCTTCTTGAATTCCGTATCTTACACTTTATTTGCTTCCTCCCTCATTTTGGTGGGAACTTAGAATGGATGAGAAGTAATGTTTTGGGAAAAATATCTTCAGTATCATTTCTTTGGTAATGAATTTTCCACTGTTTTTGCTGTTATTTCTTTCTGTATCTCTTATTGGTTGGATGTGGAACACAAATTTATCATTTGATTTTTTTCGCCTCTTTTTCATCCCTCGTTCTTTTTGATCTGTTTTCTGAGAAATTTCTTGGGCTTTATCTTTCAGCCCGCTAATGACATATGTATTTTAAAATCTGTGATTATATTTTTTAATCCCAAGAACTATTTCCTATTTTTGATTCTTATCTCTCTGAGGATATTAATTGTAGTTTCCATTGAACTTTTTTCTCCTCCTTTCTTTGTTTCCTCAGAGTTCCCTTTTTTGTTTTTGGTTTCCATCTTACCTGCCATAGGATGTACTCAAATGCCTGATAGTCCATGTATTCATTCTTATTTTAGAGTAAGACACTAAAGAAACATACCGCAAGCTGTGTATCAGTGGGGGTTGTTTATTTGTCAGTTAGTGGCCTCCCTATAGAGTGGTAAAATGGAGACCTCGCTGTTCTATTGCAGAACTTCCTAAAAGTTGACATCTGTAGCTTATTTCTCTTGGGACAATCAACTTCTCTGCAGAGGAATTTTCTAATCTCCTGCCTTGGGGGCACAAATCAGACATCAGAATGTGATGGGGAAAGGGTTAGAGGGTTCATGATTCAGTATTTAACTTTCCCCATTTCCCATTTCAGTCCAGCACCTTGACCCTACTCTTAGCTATTCATTTCTGGATTCATAGCCTTTCTGGTTCATTTTCTTCATGAACTAAATCTGTAGCCTTCTGTCTGGACAGAAAAGATGAGTCACATAACAACCTAGTTTTACCAGTCAGCGTTCTCCAGAGAGACATAACTTACACGATATATGAGAGGAAATTTATTTGGGAATTGACACATAATCACAGAGGTGGACAAGTCTAATGATAGGCCATCTGGAAGCTGGAGCACCAGAGAAGCTGGTAATATGGCTCAATCCAGAAGCCTCAGAACCAGGGAAGTTGAGGGCGCAGGCCCCAGTCAGAGGCTGAAGGTGATAGCCCCCAGGAGGCCACTGGTGCAAGTCTCAGCATCTAAAACTAAAGAACCTGGAGTCTGATGTCCAAGGGAAGGAAGAGAAAAGGTGTCCTACTCTGGAAGAGAGAGAGAGAAGAGAGAGAGAATCACCCTTTTTTCATCAGTTTGTCTCAGCAGGACCCCCAATTATTAATAGATGGTGTCCTCCCAAACTGTGGGCAGGTCTTTCTCTGTCAGTTCACTGACTCATACGTCAGTCTTCTCTGGAAACAACCTCAGAGATACACCCAGAAACAAAGCTTCACCAGCCATCTAGGCGTCCCTCAATCCAATCAAGTTAATACCAAAAATTAACCGTCACACTGGTGACAAAGGAAATCTGGAGGTGGGGTTCTAAGTGCTCCTTATTAAGACTTTCAACATAATGTTTCTTTTTTCAGTCCCAAAGTTCAACCTCTTCAGAAGTATCGTGCCTTTAATTTCTAAACACTTCCAGATTTTGGGGAGGTATGAATTGACTTGTTTTTTGTTGACTTCTGTTCTTAGCTAATTATTACTCATTTATCCTTTTTTTAGCTTTCAAAGTTTTGTAAGAATCTCTTTAGCTCTTCATTGTTTTTGTTATTTTTATTCTCCTACTATCATATTAGTAGATTTTGAAAGGCAAGGGAATATAAATGTACATGTTCAACCTGCCATGTTAAACCACAAACCTCCAGAATAATTTTTAAAAATATACTGTTTATCATCAGATCATGTCATCCTCCTATTTAAATATCCTAATAGCTTTCTACCAGGTCATACATGATTTGGTCCCTATCTATAACTCTGACCTCATTTTGTAATCTGTTCCCCCTACCACATTATGCTCTGGTCACAAAGTTTGCTTTTTGCTCCAGCCTTAGGCCTTTGTTCTTGATATTTCCTCTCTCTGAAATGCTCTTCCTCCTGTTGGTGCAAGGTTTCTTCATCAGCACACTCACCTCGTCAGAGAAACCTTTCCTAACATTAATATCTTTATAATCCAGTTTTATTTTCTTCATAGCACTTATTACGATCTGTTCATTTACTTTTTATTTTCTCCACCTCATAAGAATATCAGCTTCAAATGTCATGGATTTTGTGTACTACTGTGGCAGGTCCTTTTCCAAACAGAATGCCTTTCTAATAAGCACTCTTTAAATATTTGTTGAACTAAATAAGGGCTGAATGACAAAAATAAGATATTTGTGATCTTGTAACTGCAAGGAAAGAACCTATCTTACTTATCCTCCATCTGCGGAGTATAGTTTGTAATTTGATACCCCTGAATTATAAACACTTTATTAATACTATTAATAGAATAGAGAGTGCTATTAAGGAGGCCCTAGACACAGTAAGGTAGACTCGTGCTTGCCATGGGACCCGCCCTATGAGCTCACTCAGATTGAGTCTTCAAGACCTCAGAGCTACTTTTCTCTCGGAGCAAATCAGGAATTGGAACCCAGATGGGAGGAGAAAAAAATGGGAATGGGAGGGATGTAAAAATGACTACGTCTCCCAGAATGCACTACATCTGAGATCGGAGCGGGGCATGCTGGGATTCCTTCCTTTCCGGAAGACCAAGGAAGTGCTTTTTTGAATGCGGTACTACGGCGTAAGATTTCCTGGAGTCCCTGATTCTTTTCTCTGTTAACTGTGACTCTCTGGTTATTGGGAGGGCCTGGCTGGGAGAGGTATCGGACGCCGCGCACTCACTCTTCTTCCGGCGAGGACCGAAGAAGAAGCCGAGTGGAGTCAGTGTGGCAGCTGCTTCCTTTCCGGGCGGGTAAGAACTGACGGTTGCATCCCTTATTCCCCCGCCTAAAGCTTTGACCTAGTTAGTGTGTGGGCAGGTTTTGAGTTTTGGCTCTGGCCGTTGGCGCAGACTCGGCCTAGTGGCATTCCGGCCCTTACCGCCTCCCCCGGCACGTACCCAGCGCGGTACCTGCCACCGGGCTTCTTATGTGTCTCTCCCGTTTCTTCTGAGTCCATATCCAAGTGTATCCTTCTGTATTTGGCCGTGTCCAAGCCACCGGAAGAGGAGAAACTCTGGGCGTGACGTTATTCCCCGCTGGGGACGGGGTGTCGGGAGAACTTCCCTCTAACACTTATCTGGAGAGAAACGAGAAACATGAAGACAATGTAGGGAGGTCTTGTAAAGGTAAATTTATTTAAACGAAGGGACTAGTGTCATTATTTTTCTTTTCCTGTTTGTCTTTAAATGATCCTTAGCTGAACGACGGTGTGTAGTAGGAAGGTGGTGGCGGTTGATTGCTTTTTAAAAATTATTTCGTAACATTACCTTTGTGTCAGCAGGCAGTACTTCCTTAGTCCATAAAATCTAAAAGTGACCACTGATCTAGTATAACTCGTTTTACTGATTGAGCCTCGAAGAGATGGGATGTCTTATAAAAAATGATGAAACCTGAGATTTTAACCCAGTTCTTTCAACACTGGAATAAGTGCTCTTTTCTACCATGCCGCCTCCGCTTTTTTACTTTGGGGTGAGAGTGCAGGATATGGAGCTGACTGGGTTAGTATTTTGGCTTCCACTGTTTTCTGACTGTGGTGACCTACCTGAGCCAAGGTTTCCCTTTTTGTAGAATGATAGTAGTGTTACCTGCCTCCGAGTGGAGGTTCTTCCAGGTTTTGTGAACGTTGGGAGAATTTCGGGACATATCGTGTAAGCCAAGCAAAGAAAGCTTTTTGTTGAAAACAAAAGTATACTCTCAGTGGGGAGAGCAGGCAGGAAAGAGAGCAGCCGTACTGGGAGGAAGTGATTTTAGATTTTTTTGTAGTTGTACTACCTGAGGGGAGGAATATTCAAGACCAAGGGGTTGGCTTTTACTAAAAATTTCGATAGTAATTTCTAGGATTAGTTCTCTCCCATTTTCATACTTATATGGGTGTTTGGGAACTGTTATGGTGATTTCAAGGGCAGAGAAATTTTGAAATCACGATGTAAATGATACTGTAATTAGCCAAAGTTCATGTAAGGTGGCAGAGATAGCTGAGAAGCCAGTTGAAGTCGGTTCTTGTCTGTGGTTATCAGCCCCTCTAATTAGCTTCTGCTTGAGGGTTAACACCTGCACCCAATCTGCAAGCCTCTGTGTAGAGTCTCAGCCCTGTCTCCTAATTTGTTACTCTAACAATGGTACTTAAATTAATTTTGTACATATAAAGCTGTTTAAGTGTTAACTCCTATTATCAGAGATGTGTTTATTTACCATCACCATTATAATCAACTTTAGTGTTCTGTATTTAGATACATCAGTTGATAAACAGGTTTCTTCTCTTTGTTTTCTTTTACTGGACTTATCTTACCTGGACAATTTTTTAAATGTTACTTTTTCTTCACCTTGGACCAGACACACTTTTTGAAATATTTTATTTTTAAAATTATTTGTTTACATTATTATTGCCTTTATTTGAAGCCATAAACCTGAAATTTTGGTTGAGATTTATAAATAACTTTGTATATGTGAGGAACAGTAAATACACTGAAAATTGCTTCATGAAAATAACCTAGCATTAAATACTAAATGTCTCAAATCATTTTATGAAATGAATTTTTATTCAATTCTTTGAAACTTAAAATAATGTTGTGTTCTTTTCTAGCTACCTGTCATACCATGCTTTCCTGTGATATTTGTGGTGAAACAGTATCCTCAGAATCGGACATGAAGGCTCACTTACTAATTGTTCACATGGAAAATGAAGTTGTGTGTCCATTTTGCAAGTTGTCAGGTGTGAATTATGATGAAATGTGTTTTCATATTGAAACTGCTCATTTTGAGCAGAATACACTGGAAAGAAACTTTGAGAGGATAAATGCAATACAATATGGAACTTCAGATCATGAAAAGGGCAACACCCTACAGTGTAGAACAGAAGTTAATTCAAGTATTCATTTAGCTTGTGCATCTAATCATCTGAAAAATTCAGCTCAAAGCCTGCCTAAGGATAGCACTTTAAAACATGAAGCCTTTTATGCAGAGAACTTAACTGAATCTAGAAAATTCCTGAAAAGTAAGGAAGAACAGTCTGGCCTAACTGAAAGAAAAGGATCAATTTATGAAACAGTGTACAGTCCTCCCGAATGTCCATTCTGTGGAAAAATAGAGGAATGTAGTCAAGATATGGAAACTCACGTGAAAACAAAGCATGCCAATCTTTTAGACAATCCATTAGAAGGTAAAGTGTTCATTTTATTATAAATTATTGTAAGCAACAGTAGTTTCAATTTAATATCTAGTGCTAAAAGTTGCTTTGTAAATCAGATTACTGCATTCTCCATTTTATGTCTGTAACATTGTTCATTTGCCATTATTGCAATATAAAAATACAATTATGAGAAAGAATTTCGATGCAGATATAAGATATTTCAGCTATATTGAGAGTAATTTTGAAACCTTTCCAGTTTCCAGAGCATATTCTTTTTATTTCCACCAGTTCAATGGCATCTGGACTGTCCTGGACTCTTTATTGAGTTCCAGTTTGACTCCATTATGATTAGAGAGCACACTCTATATGATATCTGTTTTCTTAAATTTGTTGAGGCACGTTTTATGGTTCATGATATGGTCTGTCTTGGTATATGTTTTATGGGCACTTAAAAAAGAGTGTATTATGCTTCGTTGGGTGGAGTGTTCTACATATGTCAATTAGCTCCTATTGTTTGTGTTCAGATTATATATATCCTTGCTGATTTTCTGTCTAATACTGACTAGTAGTTCTACCAATTTTTGAGAAGAGATTGTTGAAATCCCTGATTATAACTGTAAATTTATCTGTTTTTCCTTTAAACTCTGTAAGGTTTTTTGCTTTATGTATTTTGAGGCTCTGTTATCGGTGTATATACATTTGGGATCTTATATTTTTTTCTTATTTTTGAGCTTTAAGAATTCTTTGTTTATTTTGAATACAATTTCTTTATCAGAAAAGTATTTTGCAAGTATTTTCTCCCATTCTGTGAGTTATCTTTTCATTGTCTTAAACAGTGACTTTTGTGGAATAGAAGTTTTTAATTTTAATGAAGTGCAGCTTAATTGCTTCTTTCATGGATTATGCTTTTGGTGTATCTAAAAACTTATTGCCAACTTTTAAATAAAAGTTTGATAGTTTTGCATTTTACGTTTAGATCTACGATTCATTTGAATTTTTGCAAAATGTATAAAGTCAGTATGTGGATTCTTTTTTAATGCATTTCCCTGATTTTTAGCGAAATTAATATCTTTTTCACATAGTTATTTTAATTTCCTCTATTGTGAAGTAGAATTCTATATTTTTTATGTATGTTTCTGTTAAGTTATGTGCATTTTCCAACTGTATTTATGTTGTCTAATTTTCTGTTGGGTTGTCTTCCTCAGTTGCTTTTTAAATATATTCTCAGTACTAATCCATGACTTCGGCTATATGCCATAGACTATTGATTATCCTTTAATTTTGTGCAGGATTTAAATTTGGTTTATGTTTGCTTTCTATATATTGTCTAAAAAAGTATTCTGTACCCTGACATCAAAAAGGTATTCTCTTATTCTAAAAATTGTAATGTTTTATATTCTTTTCTTCACATTTCTTTTTTACTCCATCTGGCTTGTGTGTGTTTGTGTGTGTATTGTGTGTACTGTGTGTATTATGTGAACTAAAAAACAAATTTCTAGTTTTTTCCTGTATGGACCAGGTTTACCACTGATTGATAATACTTTGTCTTTTATCAAGTTTTCATATTTATATGGGTAAGTCTTTTAGTTCTGCTTTATTTGCTTGGCTATTGTTTTCTTATTACCATACCATTTTAAAAATTATAATTTTGTAACATGTCATCAACATCAGATAGGATAGTACGTCCCTCGTTCTTCATTTTCATTGTCAACTTAGATCTTCTCATTTGGCGTTTGAGTTTTAGAACTATTTTGTCAAGTTTCATGAAAATTCTGTTGTAATTTTGTTTGAAATTAGATCAAGGTATACCTCTAAATTCAGGCCATCTTTTTTAATTCCTCAGTAAAATTTTGTGTTGGATTTCATTGTACATTTGTGTTAGTTTTATCCCTGTATAGTTTATAGTTTGTATTGCTTTTGTAAATTAGATTGTTTTCCTCTTAACTTTTGCAGGTTTATAGAGGCATTATCAGGTTTTTTTTATATAGCTAAGATATCTAGTCTTGTTCAACCCTTAGTAATTTTAATAGTTGTCCATTGATTACCTTGAGTGTTCTAAGTAGATGATTTTATTATCTGCTAATAATGGAAATTTTATGGACTGCTGCAAAGATTCCCATTGATGAGGAATGCCAGACACATTCTACTGATAAACTGTTTCCTGTAAGTTTCTCAGTAAACTGATGTCAGGTGTGGCTTATGGTAGTCGTATGAGTCCATATATTTAGTTGTGTCAAAAAAGACCTGGTTGTCATTAGAGGTATAGAAGTGAAATAGGCAGATAGCTAGATTTAACCAACTTTTAGTTACAACAGATAGATTAGGTGAGTTTACAAGTAGTTTAAAGGAATGATTATTTAGAGGATGCATGGAATCTAATAAATAAAAACATGAGAGAGGTGATGAATGACAAAAAAATAGGCCTTTATATTCTATATTGGTGGTTTTAATTAGGGCAAAGATTTTAGAGTGGTGAAATTAAAAGAAATGAGGTGGAAGGATAGGTAGTTAGAAGAGGGATGTTTGAGATTTCAAAAGTGATTCAGTTATTGGTGTTGACGAATCAAGGTTATGATTATGCCCTTCAGTGGCTAAATTAGTGTGAAGGACAAGATTATTGGAAGTGAATGCAAAGAACCATCCCTATGGATATTGAAGTTGCTAAGAATGATGATAGTATAAGGGCTAAAAAAAGAAGATTTTGATCCAGGTCTAAAATCTGTAGTAAATGAAAGGAAGTATTTAGGATTTAAGAAAATATTAGCCACTGAGAAAGGTATGGGATGCTATATATTCTGGTAACATGCACTAATAAAAAGATGAAGCTTTCAAAAAGGCAGGAAAAAACCTGATTTGATAGTGATGAAATGGAACAAATGAGGATATTTTTTCTACTTCTAGGACCCTGAATTATGACAGAATAATTGCCTGTGTGTAGGGGGCAATAGGAAAAATGGGATCTCATGGTCCAACCAGATTTCAGTTAAGGCAAGAAGGTTAAGTGAATATTTAGAGAAAGATTGTGGATATAAAGACGTTGACTGATAATAGACTGTGATTTCTGGAGGATGAGGTAGTAGGCCTTGGGAATTTGGGAGGGGTGATAGGTTGGGTCAGATTTGTGGATGTACTTCAAATATTTAAAGACTGTTAAGACACAGCCAATAACCAATTAGAATGGATTAATTGTCCCAGAACAGTGTTGGTGGTTAAGTCAGCCCTGGATGACACCATTGAATGATAATGGCTAATCTATGAAACTTAGACTTCTAGTGGTAAAGAAAGTATACAGGAATGTGAGGTGCAATGGTTCACTGTTGAGGAAGGTTGGTGATCGCTTCAAACTAGAAGAGATGGAGGGATTGGCTTGCAGCACTGTGATGATCGAAGAGATGAACAAAGGCCTCCTTGGCCAACTTTGAGGCATTTTTTGGTAGAGAACTGGCTGAAAGTCCTCTCTTATGTCCTGCAGCATTACTTATGGAAGCCATTTACCTTTATCTCTTAGTGCTGCTTTTAGAAATATTTTCAGAATACTTTTAAATACTTCATTTTCTCTTGAGTTTTGCCATTAAATTTTTTATTTCAATGATTATATCATTGATTTTTAATATTTCTGATTTTTTACCTTTCTGTTTCTGTTTCATGGCTTTCTGTCCTGGTTTCAAAGATTCAGTTCCTCCTTTATTTCAGTGACGATTTGGAACATACTTATTTTACAATCCTTTATAAATTACTGTTAGCTCCATTTCTTCACAAGTGACTTATTCAGTTTGTGGATTTTGGGACTGTTTTCATGGTATTAGCCCTCCCACTGTGTTTTGCAATTCAAATTTTAGTATTCATCTGTCATGGGAGTTTTCTCTCATGATTCCTCCCAGTGAAGCAGTTTCATGGTTCCTTCATCTTGGCTTTTCAGTCTCCACTTCCAGAGAAGGCCTGTTAGTATGGATTGCTCAATGCTTTCAATCTGTGTACATGCACAATTCTGTGTTCCTCTTCTGTGCCTGTTTTCTGCTACGCCTTGGTCTTGCAGAGGTTCTGCTGCTTCTGCTATTGGCAACCTGGACCTATCTGCTTATAGTGCTATCTGATAGATACAGCTCTTTAATCTCTGATCTGAGGTAGTCAGTGTGGTCTAAAATCTCAGCTTTATGCTGGATGTTAAAGTTTAGCACCCTACCACCACTCATTTTGGTGGGTGCTGAGAATTTAGCTCTAAAAACCCAAAGCCAAACTGGCTCCTACTTTCCATTTTGGTTTTCCTTCCTACTTTTCTTGTTTTGACTACAGATCTGAATGTTTATTATTAATATTTCTTTTTTTTTTGAATGATAAGAGAGGTTTGTGCTATGTTCCATCTTCCATCTTGACCCTAGACATGGAGAAGTAACTTTTAAATCCAACTATAAAGAGCTCATATTTATATAAGGTTAATTGGTTGTAGATAATTTTCGATATGGAGTGAAATAATATAAAAGTTTAAAAAATAAAATCTTTATTATGTCTCTTATACAGACTGTGATCAACCGCTCTATGACTGCCCTATGTGTGGGCTCATATGTACAAATTACCATATTCTCCAGGAACATGTTGACTTGCATTTAGAAGAAAGCGCCTTTCGACAAGGTATGTTTATATGTTTAAAGATGAATGTGTTGTGATTTAATTTCTACTTTTTAGGACACAACACTAATTTTTAGATTCATGATAGAGGAAAAAAAAGCCATACTATTTAAAAATGAATCTGTTTCTTATCTAGTTGCAACTTTTTCTTTAGAAATTGTTTCACAGAAAAGTTGTAAGGGATAAACTATTTGACCAGCATCCAAACCAGGACTGTGCATCCTGGGTTTTGCCCCAGAGCACCAATATTTAGAGGGTACAAACATTTAAGATAATGATTTTAAATATTATTCAATTTTAAAAGTGTTACATTTACAAGTTGAGGCCATACCTTCAGCAGCTAGAAGTAATTGAATTTAGCATTTGGTCAGCAAAAATTGTTAAACTGGAAACTGCTGTGTGGCACATACAATTTTAAAATGAATATGAGCTATATAACCAAAATGTCTTTCAGTGCATTTCTAGCTGCTTGCTCCAGCTTCCAAAATTACTTACTGGTTTTTTAGTGACTCTTATAAAAGTTTCCGTTCTCCCATATGTTTTCTAATAGTGGCATTGAATAATTAATCATTATGATGCCTTAGAAGCGGAAAGATCCTATGTGAGTTTTACAAACCCACTGAAAGAAAATATAAAGTGGACCCTGAGAGAAACCAATTGTGTTCCACCCTATTATAGTTTTTGAAGGTACACAGATAGCTCCTATTAATGCAGGGATCTTTAGAGTCCAGTATCAATGATCCTACTACCAGTATCAGTGATCTCCATGGACAGCATTACCTGCCAACTCAGCCTAACCCATAGATGAGAATAGTTCTCTATTCTGTTGGTTTTCTACTGACTGTTCCAGCTGATGAGTTATCTTCCTTTGGACAAGATTGCAAGAGAGTACTGTGGAAGGATAGATAACCCTTTTGAAGCTGAATATCTGATAATTCTCACTCTTTATGATAGGCTTTGTATGGACACATCTATCATGCTATAAGCCAATAGTGGGTAATGTGAGAAAGATATGGTCTGTAAATCACCGTAGATAGCGTCAGGGTATACTAAAAATCACTTGTGAATTGTATATCCCCAGGCATGGAAGGGGGGACCAAATAGAAAGATGAAGCAGTTGTTGAGAGGCTTGTACGGAAAGAAAGAATATTTAGTAACATAATTTAGCCATCAGGTTGTGGAGTTAGGGAGACAAGGTACTGGCCAGAAGCCACTGACTAATGGATCTGGGGAGCACTGGGTAGAGAGGAAGCAGGGCAAGATGTTGCAAAGTTGTACCATTTGTTTGGGTACAAACTGTAATTAAGTTATCTAACACCTGTACTTTGTAAGCATATATTTTTATGCTCTCTATTATTTTCATTTTCTCCCCTAGTATTTCTTTGAAAAATCAATCTGCCTTAGTTGTGTTAAGAAGCATCAATGAAGGGTGTTACTTAACCTCTTTAAATTCTGATTTCCTCAGCAAATAATAATACCCACTTCATAGGGTTGTCGTGAAGATAAAATGAGATAATTAAGGAAAATGTCATAGCTTAAACCCTCAGTGAACATTAGTTGTTATTTATATGGAGGTTATTCTTTACAGAAACAGTTTTGAGTTTTGCTAGATTTGTACTTGGTTCCATGACATTACGGTCATAAATAAATGACAAATAATAGCATTTACTCTTAAAAATATGTATTAACTAATAAGCTTTGATTGTAGCGGTTATTTCATCTTGAACATTAAAAATATCTAACAGGCATGGATGGAGTACAGTGTTCTAGTGGTCTAGAACTGGCTCACCAGCTTCAACAAGAAGAAGACAGAAAGAGGAAATCTGAAGAATCAAGACAAGAAAGAGAAGAATTTCAGAAGCTACAGGTACAAAGATTAATAACAATTATATATTTTGATTTGGTAGAATTGTTCTTTTTTTTTTGAGACAGAGTCTCGCTTTTGTTTTCGGGCTAGAGTGAGTGCCGTGGCGTCAGCCTGGCTTACAGCAACCTCAAACTCCTGGGCTCAAGC